AATGTAACAACTACCGTTCTACAGAAAAGTATTTTTTTAAGCTTAAAAATAAAAATAAACATATGAAAATGAATCTAAATAATTTATGTTATAAAACTAACGGATATGATTGTAACTTTGTAAGAGCAGGAGAAAATTTAGAACGGGGGAGGAGCCCTCTCATTCACTTTGATTCGAATTGAAATGGGCTTCGTCGAAGCTCCAATTATTAAAAACTACTACCTCTTTGTTTAATTTTTATTTTAATTCTAAATATAAGACCTCAATTTATTTTATTTTTTATTTATCTATTTTTTTAAGATGATTCTTATAATAATAGTAGTTTTAACTAACACACTTCATTAGCAATAATATTTTGGAAAAGACAACATTTATTTGCTGCAAATAACTAATTTAATTAATTTTTTTAATTTACTCAAATTAGTCAACTAATTTTTATATTAAAGATTGGAGGTAGTAATAAATATATTACTCCTCCTGTTCATAATATAAGATTTAATTTAAAAGTTGATGTTGGTCTTATATATAAAATATATTTCACATGTTTATTAATTTTTTTCTAAGTTAACTAATTTAACTAACATTCTTAATTTACTCAAATTAATTAATTAGATATTAAATTAGGGATGAGAAGAGTATTTTATTGTATTTTCACTAACATGATATTGCACATTTCTCCAATTCTAAGTGCATTTTATTACACCTGAATGTTCTTGCAAATAACTATCTATATTTACATGCACCCTTCAAATGAAAGGCATGTAAATATTCCTTTGACTTATGAGGTTTGAAAATATGACACAATGCCTTGTTTTTTTATTTTTTTATTTTGTCTTCTTTGCTTCTAATAGGATTTGACTTAGATTTTAGCATTCCGTCTGGATATTAATTTTACAAAATATGTGATGCATAGGATACAAAATGAGTGGTTAAAATAAAGAATGACATCATAAATTATTTGTGGCATAAAACATACTTACCATTCTTGCGCATTGCCATAAGACTGATGCTATATGATAATGAATATTTGGCATAAAAACCATTAAAACATTAAAAATATAGGTTTGTGTGATTTTTAACATGAATATGGTTTTGGTGTAAAAAAAATTTCTAATTTTAAATTATTTACTTTTCCTAAAATATAAGATAGACCTTTTTCTATATGTATAAATATAAATATAAGTATATAACAAGATTACATTTCACTCACATACACGTCACTATTTTCCTCTGTTCTTTTTAATGAACTTATTAATTAATTAAATTCATTTGTAATTAGATTGTGGGCCCATACTTTATTATTTTATATTGCATATGGACCTATCTGACGCATTGATTTGCGCAGTCTATAGTTAATTAATAATAGAACGAGTCTATCTTCAAAATTTTCAACGAACGTATATATTGAAACGGACAAATCTAATTAAAAAGCTGACATTTTTGAGATTGAAAGGTATAACTACATCAAATATATTAGAGTATATAGAAAATGTCAGCCAGAAAAGGTCAATAGTCAATATTTTCTTCTCCTCAGACTTTTCTCGATCTTCTCTCTTCCTACCGCTATATATATGACCCCTCGTCCTTCCCATTTCTCATTCAAAATCTCAACCTCCAACCGGAACACACCGAAGAGAAAACCTTCCAAATTATTCAAATGTCTTCTCTACAGATCTCAACTCTTTCTTCTTCTTCTTCTTCTTTAAGCAGAGTTAACGCCGCCATTAGTGTGCCAAAACTCCCACGAGCTCCAATCTCACTTCCAAAAATACCCACCAAATCTTCAACTACGAAGCTGGTTCGTGAATCCGATAATGGATCCTTATACACAATATCTCCAGCAGATAAAGATGTCGGCAACACACAAATGCTCCAACATTTTTCCAAACCTGACGAGTCCAAGGCCACCATTCGATTATATGCAATCTTAGAGGCTGTCTCCGACAGAATTGAAATGCACAACAACATGGGCGAGCAACGAAACAACTGGACCTCTCTTCTTTTGAACTCTGTGAATATGATGACTCTTCCTGCTACAACCATGGTTGGTCTCAACACTGCCATTGACAATACTGCATTTAGATTATCGTCCACTCTTTTGTTCACAGCCGCCACAGGGATGCTTCTCATCATGAACAAGATTCAGCCCTCACAACTCACTGAGGAACAACGAAACGCCACTAGGTTGTTCAAACAGCTTCAGAAGGAAATCCAAACGACGTTAACTCTTGGAAATCCAACTGAGGAAGACGTCCACAGTGCAATGGAGAGGGTTTTGGCACTTGACAAGGCTTATCCACTTCCTCTCTTGGGAGCCATGCTTGAGAAATTCCCTTCAAAGTTCGAGCCTGCTGTTTGGTGGCCTAAAAGTAACAAGACGAATGACTTCCAAAAGCAAGTCGCCAGATCGCAGGAGAAAACGAATAATGGATGGACTCCAGAACTGGAAACGGAGATGTGGCAGCTTCTTGAAGTGATGAAGAGAAGAGACATGGAGGACTATGAGAGACTAGGAAATTTGGCTCTCAACGTCAACAAAACCTTAGCCACATCAGGTCCCTTGCTCACTGGCATTGCAGCTTTAGGTTCTGCATTAGCCAGCCACGGTTCGTCTTGGCCAGGTATTGCGGCCGTCATGGCTGGGTCGTTGGCGACGTCTGTGAATGCATTGGAGCATGGAGGCCAAGTGGGGATGGTGTTTGAAATGTACAGAAACTGTGGTGGTTTCTTCAAGTTGCTGCAAGAGAGCATAGAAACAACGCTTGAAGAGAAAGATTGCGAGAAAAGAGAGAACGGCGAGCTCTTTGAAATGAAGGTGGCAACGAAATTGGGGAGAAGCGTTTCGCAACTCAGACGACTTGCCTCAAAATTTGTTGCCTATGAGTCGGAAGGAATGGCCATGGATGAATTTGCCAGCAAACTTTTCTGAAGACTAACTTTTTTCAGTTCGTCGATCCTAACTTTAGATAGGACACAGAAGCATTCTTTTATTCTTTATTATGTAAAGTCTCCCGAAATACAAGAAATAATATTCTTATTTTGACACAAAAAATATTGCATTTGTACGCAGAACTTTTCCTTAGCTTACGGTAGAATTGAATTAAACTTTTAATGATATAGGAATCACCACTTGGAAATTGCAAGTTTAGTATTTAAACTTTGTAACCAATAAAATGGATCCGTATTAAGACTCGGAACTTTCATCAATGAATTGGAAGATATCTGGTGAGCTCAGTAAATTTGATCTTGGATTTGTGGCCAGTGGAAAAAATAAACAGCTTATTACCAACAAAATTAATTAGTGGCAGAAAATTATTCTGTCACTATTTGCTGACGAATTAGTGATATAAATTCTGTTACTAAATTTAGTGACAGGAATTTTTCTGTCGCTAATCCGTCTCGGTAAATCTTTAGTGATGGAATTTTCAGATCAGAAATTTTCATCACTAATTTTTGTTGTAAAATTTTTAGCGATGAAAATATTGGTAATTAGCAACAGAATAATTACATCATTAGTGATGGAATTGAAATTGTGTTAATAATCCAATGAGTAACAGAACAATAAGCAATAGAACAAAATTTGTCGCCAATTTAATTTTATGACTAAATAAAAATTTTGTCGTTAATCATGTATTTTTTTTTAATAGTAGAGAGTGGGGGGTAAGAGTTAGGGGTGTTGATGAAGCCCAGTTGCCCGCTATGCCTGCCCAATCCCGCAAAAAAATGCCCAGCCTGCCCTAAAAAAATTGGCCCAAAAGAACTATTGGGCATGTTCGGGCTGGGCAAATTGTTGGGCAAGGCTGGACATCGGGTACGGTATGCTGCCCTGCCCATTTGGCCCTGCCTGCAAAAATATATATTATTTTATTTATATATTTATTTTATTTGCCTCATATTTCTTTTCCGAATCAAACTCACTGTTGCATCAATATTCAGTGTTCATTATACTTATTTATTTTTGAATGATTATGAGAGTTAGAAACTAGAAAAACAACTAAGCTTAATAAAATATACAAACATTTTTTTTTCATAGTCCACTCCTCCTAGCTACTGCAAAAAATAGTTTCATAATATATTAATTAGCAATAACACAATTAAGGCCAAGTTGTCATTTTAATATAAAGTTACATTAGATTATTTAGGGGGACATAAATAATTAGTTAATTAATATAGCATATTGACTTGTTGGGCATGAAAGCCCACCCTGCCCAGCCCGTATTTTCCCAGCCCAAATTCAATAGGGCTTTTCATAGGCAGGACCGAGCAACGGGCTGCATTTTCCAGCCCATTCATTCTTCAGGCTGGGCATCAGGCAAGGGTCCTGTCCTGCCCAGCCCTACCCATGTGAAGCCCTAGTGAGAGTTGTTGCTTATTTTTTGAATTTCAATCACACAGTGTGGAATAAAAATTCCATGATGATGGCCATAAAAAGAATAAAAATTTCATGATTACCTGGCATAGATTGTTGAAAACGACTGAAATGAATATGAAAGAAGAAGAAACAGCAGCCACGGAGGCCAAGAAGAAAGAACAAGGAGGAGGAAGTAATACGTTGAAGAGAACATAGAGGAAGAAAGAGTGGGAATATATATATATATATATATATATATATAATATTGCAGGATCCTTTTTTGACCTTGCATGTGATATAAGATTCCGCGTCTTGGGGACATGTAAAGGTTAGTAGAAATTATAGGGGCTTCTTTAATTCAAATCACTGCTTATAGACTCGCAGCTTAATTTTATATTGAGACGCACAAATTAAAAAGCAGACATAAAAAAAGTAAACACCAAAGAGAAGAGAATATCAGCCAGAAAAGGCCGAGTCCACATGTTCATGTTTCAAGAGTCAAAGTACTTTCTTATGTAGTCTGACTTCTGGGTTTCCTTTTCCTATTTCTCTCTATATATATGACATCTCGTCCTTCCCATTTTTCATTCAGCATCTCAACCTCCAACTGTAACACACCAAGAGAAATTAAACCTTTCAAATTGTTCCAATGTCTTCTTTACCAATCTCAATTCCATCTTCTTCTTCTTTTTCCTTTTGTCGAAGGAGAGTTCATGATGCTTATGCTGCAAACAGTATGCCAAAACTCGCACGAGTTCCAATCTCACTTCCAAAACTGCCTCCATCATCTACCAATCTGGTTCAGCAATTCAATGACCCCATCCAAACCATAGTTCCGTCCAACACTGCCATTGACAATACAGCACTCAAATTATCGTCCACTCTTTTGTTCACTGCCGCCACGGGGATGCTTCTCATTACGAACAAGATTCAGCCCTCAGAAATGGCCCAGGAACAACGAAATGCGGCTACATTGTCCAAGCAGCTTCACTCCGTATCCAAACCCAGCGCAATGGAGAGGCTTTTGGCTCTTGACAAAGCTTACCCATCAATGTTTGAGCCTGCTGCTTGGTGGCCCAAAACTAAAGCTAATGACTACCAGACGAAAGTTCCAGCTGAACTAGAAGTGGAGAATAGAAAAGATATGGAGGACGTCTACGAGAGGCAACGAAGCTTGGCTCTCAAGATCAAAACAATCTTAGCCATTTTAGGTCCTTTGCTCACTGGCGTTGCAGCTTTAGGCTCTGCTGCATCAGTGAGCCATGGTTCGTCTTGGGTAGACATTGTGGCGGCCATGGCAGGGTCATTGGCTACATCTGTTAATGCCTTGGAGCGTGCAGGCCAAGTGGGGATGGTGTATGATATGTACAGAAAGTGTGGTGGATTCTTCAAGTTGTTACAAGTGATAATCGAAGTGACACATAATAAAGAGAAAAACGACAGCGACAAGAAAAGGCCGACAGCACATCATGAAATGAAGGTGGCTATGGAATTAGGAAGAAGCGTTAAAATTAGTTTGATGATTGACATCTGATAGCTTTAGGATACAAGTTGATGAAGATATGTCCTATGCTTATGATACAATTTGGGTGATCAGAATATAATTTACAAACGATCGAAGAATGGCGTTCAAAAATGTTATGAAATGAGTTCTCATGGTAAATGATACTGGTCCTTAATATAGGACCCATTTAACTAATTTAATTATATTAAGGAAGTTAGGTAAGTTAGTTAATTATAAGGAAAGTGACACATTTTTCCTAAAACACCATAATCATCTTTCTTAATACCATCTCCCTCTTCTACTTGATTATAGTTGAGGGAGTAATCATAGGGGTAATAGAGAAAATTGATAAATATAATAAATAGGTCTTATATTTAGGAAAAACCAACTCAAGAATTGGTCCTATATTAAAGACCGGAAGAGTAGTATATTTCAACATTTAGCTTTTGCTAGATCTCAACTATTAATGTAACAACTATTGCTCTACAAAAAATGATTTCTTTGGTATAAAAATAAGGGTTAAAGTTTAATTTTACTCCAAAAGTTTTCTTGTGGGTATCTGTAACTTTTTTTTTTTTTATGACTAAGACGGGTAAGGCCTCCAATTTTTAAAAACTAACAAACATATTACGTTGTATTTATACTAACGTAATTATGTACATTTCCCAAATTCAAAGAATCCTTAACGCATTTAGTACATATGAATGTTCTTGCCCTTAATATATAGAAGTTAATTGGATTTATAATTGGCAGCATAACATGAGACGTTTTAGCCCTATGCCCCTATAAGACATTTAGGAAGAATATGAAGGGAAGATATAACACAAGATCCCATATTTAAGGAGTGTTTGGATTCGCTTTTCAAGAGTAATTTTATGAAGTTTGAGGTAAATATGTGAGAAGAATTCTTATCTTGACTCGTAAAAATATTTTTTTTAAGTACTTTTATAAGATGCCAAACACCCCTAAGTATATCTGAATAAAGTCAAACATGAATGTAAAAACCGAGAACTAATATGTTAAGTTAAAAAAGAAAGTATGAAATCTAAATCATTTAGGTTAAATGTGAAAACTTTAAATCTCATTTTTTTTAGAAAAATAAAAAAGAATATCCTTTATAGATATGACCATCAAATCTGAAACCATAAAGCAATACCAATTCCATCTTTACAAACAAAAATCGTACAACATGCAATGAAAGGTCTCGAAGAGTAATCACAAATTAGGGAACCAAGTTAATCAAGATTATTTAAGATTATAAAAAAGCACAGGCCATATCAAAACTTATAAATACACATTGTCTTTTAATCATTTTCCGTGATGAAAAGCCCCCGTGTTTGTGTGTATATAAATATACACATTCATTTTGCAACACTCATCCACCAGTTTCATCACAATACAGTATATAAAAGCCATGAAGCTTGCACTTCTTTTCTCTCTAGCAATTTTAGTTCTTCTTTCTCTCTTTAGTCCCCACGCTCAAGCTCAAGGTACGATATATACATATATACATACATGTTGTAGCTTCATTGTTAAGTATTGATTCAATATTATTGAAACATATTGAGGGATTATAATTAATGTTATTATGGTTGTGATTTGATTAATGGATGTGTTTTTGTATTAGGTGGTGTGAATTTGTGTCCAAAGCAGATGACTTTGGATGGAACATGTGAAGGGACCAGGGGAGGCTACGGGTGTGCACTTGAATTCCTGGCACAGTATGGGGCAAGCGCCATGCCACAGCACTGCACTTGCACTGACCTTAATCACCAACGTCTCTGCAAATGTGACGTTGTTTGTCCTTGAAACATTAATCCTATGTATCTGTCTCTATGTGTTTGATTAATAAGCAACATCCTTATTATTAGTTACAACTACTAACTAAAGTTATTTCGATTGTAAAATAAGTTGTCATTAAAATCTAATTATACTACCTCCAAAACTAAAACTAATGACTACCAAATGAAAGTTCCAGAACTAGAAGAGGAAATGAGGGAGAGTATGGAATAGAAGAAGAGAAAAGAGAAAAACGACAGCGACAAGAGAAAGCGGACGACACCGCATGAAATGAAGGCGGGAATGGAATTAGGAAGAAGCGTTAAAATTAGTTTGATGATTAGTATTTGATAGCTTTAGGGTCCAAGTTGATGAAGATATGTCCTATGCTTACGATACCGTTTGGGTGATCAAAATAATTTACAAACGAACCAAGAATGACGTTCAAAAAAGTTATGTAATGAGATCTCATGGTAAATGATCCTCTCTCCGGTTCACAATATAAGATAAACGTTGTTAAAGGAGCTTGAGTTTTTAATAAAATAATATTCACTTTTGTCTAAGCATTAAATCAGTATTTTTTTTCATTTTTACCCTCGTATATTTTCTTTTTTTCTTTAATTCATTTATTACATCTTTTACTTATTTTCTTCATTAATAAGGGTATATTTGTAAAAAAAAATACATGCCTGTTTTAAAGTGATTTTAACTAATTTCTTGATAGTAAATGGATAAATTTATCTTATATTTTAAATCAAATGGAGTATATTTCAACATTTAGATTTTGCTCAATCTCAACTAATTAACCTTCGGACAAAAAACATTTCTCAACTATTCATGTAATAATTATTGTTCTACAAAAAATGATTTCTTTAGTATGAAAATAAAGGTTGAAGTTTAATTTAAAGAGGAGAATTGGGGGAGAAGTCCTCTTATTCACTTAGATTCAAATGTGTGTGTGTGAGACTTCGAAATGGGCTTTATTCATAGGCCTCTAATTATTAAAAACCAATAAATATATTACCTTGTGTCCTTGATATAAGAGTTAGTTAAAAATTAAACTTGATCCTAATTTTAAATCTATCTATTTTGTCTCTCAAATTTATAATATTTTTTCTAAAACATCCCTAGTAATTGTAAGGAGTTCTCATCAAAGGATAGTCTCGATACACATGATTAAAGAGGGTGGTTTGGGAAAGTCAACACATACGTGCCATTATTAACCAACTTAACTAATTTTTTTAATCTCCTCAAATTAGTTACATGACTCTTATATTAAAGGCCAGTGATAGTATTACATTGTATTTATACTAATATAATAATGTACATTTCCCAAATTCAAAGAATCTTTGATGCATTTAGTACATATGAATGTTCTTGCCCTTAATAAGTTGGATTTATAAATGGGGAGCATATAGGATCGGACAAGATGTTTTATGAAAGTAAAAATCAGGTTCTTTGAATCTTGGGAATTAGTTCATGAACATACAAAATGTAATAAAATCTAATCCTTTTCCAATACAGAAAAGTCCTTTATTTTATGTCTATTGTTAGTTCTTTTTTCTGTCTTTTGCCTCCGCGCTCATGCTCAAGGTACTGGCTATGATGAGAGATTATATTCATTAATTAAGTAGTTGTGACTTTTGATTATTTGATTAATGAATGTGCATTATAATATAACTACAAGAGATATCATGTATATATATTACGTGGTTAAGATAAAGAATGGCACCATGAATCATTTCTGACCCTAAAATATATACATGCCAATTATAATTAAAATAATTAAACTATAAGGCTGATGTTTTATATTCGAATAAAGTCAAATATGCATGTAACAACTACTATTAATTTACAGAGAAATAATATTTTAAGTTAAAAAAAACAAAAATATGAAATCTAAATCATTTAGATTAAATGTGAACATTTTAAATCTCTTTTTTTTAAAAAAAAAAAAAGGAGAAGAAGAATATCCTTTATCTTTAGATGGCCACCAAATCTAATCAAGACCATATATAAAGCAATACCTTTTTTTTTTTTTTGGATAAGACATATATAAAGCAATACCAATTGCATCTTTACAAACGAAAATTGTGCCACATGCAATGAAAGGTCTCGAAGAATAATCACAAATTAGGGAACCAAGTTAATCAAAGATTTAAGATTATATCAAAAAAGCACAGCCATATCAAAACTTATAAACAGTCTTAAATCATTTTCCATGGTGAAAAGCCCTAGGTGTGTATATAAACATACATATTCTTTTGGTTGCAACACTCATCCACCAGTTTCATCACAATACAATATACATAAACCATGAAGCTTGCACCTCTTTTCTTTCTATTAATTTTAGTTCTTCTCTCTCTCTTTAGCCCCCATGCTCAAGCTCAAGGTATGATATACACACACATACAGGATTAATATCATTTTGAGTTCATGAAATTTAACTTTATTTTGATTTTTCTTATTGAAATTTGAAACCAGTAGTCTTGGTCCATCGAGTTTTATTGATGAAGACGGTTTTATCTGTCAGATATTTATGCCTGTAAAATGTTGTTTCAGATACCAAAAAAACACTATTTCAGGAACTAAACGAACTTGTTTTTGTTTAGGTGGTGGGAAATTGTGTCCAAAGGAGATGAGGTTGGAGGGAAGTTGTGGAGGGAGCAGTGGAGGATTCAACTGCGCAATTGAGTTCCTAGGGAAATATGGAGCAAGGGCCATGCCACAGCACTGCACTTGCACTGACCTTAATCAACAACGCCTTTGCAAATGTGACATTGTTTGTACTTAGCCTGAACAATATAATCCTATATATGTATCTCTATCTATGTTTGATCAATAAGAAACCACCTTACTAGTTACTACCAACTTCATCATGTTGAATAATATTGATTATACGAGCAGCAGGCACGGGTTGGCTCACCTGTGAAATCATATAGCCTGCTTGTTTTTTTATTTTTTTGGGCAGGTCTGGCCGGGTTGGCTCATTTAGACAACGTAAATGTGAATACACCAAGTTACATGTTACCTGCTTGGTCCTAGTGATGTTCATAAGGGCGGGATTAGAACAATCATGTCCTGATCTTGTCTTAATAATCAGGATTTCTTGATGATCTTGTTCTTATTAAACAGGACATGACTAGGATCGGACAAAGACGTCTCATCTTTTTGCTTTTTAAAGTTTTTGATTTTTTTTAATTGGAAACCAATTATATATAGAGCATGAGAATTTATAATAAAAAATTTAC